CGCAAAATCCCCCTTCCAAGCACGTATTATTAAATCTACCCTAGGGATATGAAAAGTTAGGTTCGCCTATGCGAAACTCGAATAGGAATTCGATATCCAGATCGTGATCGTGGAAAGCGACGTTGCATATCACTGCATCCCCAAAATCGTTACTATAACAAATAGAGATGTATAAATAAACACTGCAAACCTTGGCTACTGGATGTGGTGATCTTGTGAACCTCTTGTACAGATAATTCAAAATTGTATCTAACGCCGAACATGCAGATGTTATGACAACGGCATCTGAAAGAAATTATGACAAATATGAAAGGTGGATAGAGAAACATTGAAAATATAACTACTATATAACAGCAACTCCTACACATGGTTGATCGTTTTTCATTGGATAGGAATCGCTTACCTAACGACGTCACTCCGGTGTGCACCGATCGCAGAATAGCCGCAAAGACTTCGGGTTGAAGATTGGAAACAAAGGCAATGTTGTCTTGAACCACATTCTCCAAGAGATTATAATAGTGTTGAGCAATCTTTGTGTAGGACTGAAAGCATGATTCATAGATCGAAGAATTCTTTTGATAGATCTCATTGTCTTTGGCTAGACTTCAGTCCAACTTTTGAGGCATAGAAGCACATGGCGTAGCCATGGACTCGAAGAAACTTTGTAGGAGGTCACATTGCTAACAATGGCGAAGCAATCCGACATTCCAAACAATCGGGATGCACTTTGAGAAGAATTTGAATCATTGATAATAAGCTTCCCTAGATAATGAACTACTGAGAAACCTTTATCTGTATTGCCTTTGACCCATAATGGATGACCTCAACTATGAAATGCACCTTGTGAAGTTGGGGCAGAGTGCCAAACTCACGTGGAAATCTTCCTCGGGGATCTTCATGAACAGCTTCACGAACATGTTCAAAGAATCTTGAAGACATGGATCACCATATAGTCGGAAAACTCCTGAAACGCTCAATTAAGATTCCGTGAGGAGAAAAGCATTATCACCTTCTCAACTCACCAAACGGTACGTAAGCTCCAATCAAAGCGCACTTGAGTACATTGAATATAATCCCAATATTTTTATATCGTTCGGCATAGGCACGCTCTTTTGGCACATCGGGCATAACGAGGATTCGATTACCTGAAATTGTTTGTAATTGGTTTAGTTTCAAATTGCAACTTTGTTATTTTAGAACCAAAAACCTTTGCACTGAAGTAAGAAGCAAACAAAAACCTACCGTAGGCGCAAATAATCTTGCTAGCTTCCTTGAACAGAAGAACGGCTACAACTAGCATTCATTTCAAACTTCAAACGTTGTTGCCGGTTTTGGCATAATTCTGGCCCAACAGGCGAAAATCGGGGTATCACCTGAACTAGCGCTTTGTGCATCTCCGGAGCCTCAACAATTAGCAACGGAATGAAACGCGTACGTCGCACACAGCATTACTTCTAGCAACACAAACTCAAAGAGGTTACACAGCTCACCTCGGGACAAGATGACCACTCCTCTACAGCACGCATCATAATATTGAACATGTCAGGATAACTAAAAAAGAAAGATCTTTACAAGAAGAAGGATGTTGAAAGTAAAAAGCAACGACTCACAGCCAATCAAATACTATCTGAAACAGATTCTTTGTAGTACACGCGACGGCAACACCCCGTAGATCGCGACACAAACCTACGACGACTCTCTGGAATCACATTTTTTGTCACTTGCGACAAATGAAAACATCAGAACTACATGAGAAAAGCCAACCTTCAGCTCCTCTTGACTAACCGCTCCATTATAGTTCGGGTGGTCATTATCGCGGTTAATTCCCGGCTGGTCGCTGGAATGCAAGAAATATTACAAATTCGAATAAAAACAGAAAAAGAAATGTAATAAGCCTGAGCATCTAGTGAACATTAGTCACTTCCCACTTGCTTTCTATCTGCTTCTCTTGATTCACCAGTTTTATCATTTCACAATTTTATATTTATGAACTTTAAGACGATGTGAGAACATACATTGCTCAGCCCTTCTGTTTGCGAAAATTTCCCAAACTCAAATACGATCCTCATCTCAAATCAAATGCTTGACAATACTAGAAATGGATGTATCTCTAAGAAACGAACCTGCTAGTGGTTGCATAAACTGTTCAAATAACTGTTCATCATCGTTGAGATCAATGGTAAGGAGACGCGTAAGCCCTCTAGAAAACCGCGTTACATGCTTCATTGTCGAATATGCGTCAGATTGTCAAGAAATACGAAGTTATACGACCTGCAAGCACACCGTGAAAGTTCCAGTTTCGAACACCAACAAACCCACATCCTTCTGCGTGGTAAACATTATTCTTACCGTGTGATTACTGAGAAGCAGTTGAACTTCCTGTAATCGAAACAACTTTCGAACTGCTGTATATCCTAGTGAAAGATCCTTCAAGAGAGATAATGACAGCTCCGAATTGCTCATTTGTGCCAGTACTTACAGGTGTTCGGATGCTAAACATCGAAGATTAATTTGTAACATGTAAAAGAAGAATTTTGCGCTTACATTTATCGAAAATACACGGAATATCTGTATTCGTCAGAAACACCTAATCGTGTGTAGCGTGGCATACCAGGGCTAGATTGTTATCTCGTAAAGATTCATGAATATGCGATATGGAAAGACTATGCGAAGTGCACAGAAAGGTCATACTGCGTCCATAATATATCGCACGACGAATTTCTAGAAGTATAATGAAGCCCGCTGAATGACAAATATTATAACCGCACCGAATCTTTTCTAGAGCAGTAGGAAAGGCTGCTCACAAAGCAGCGAAGTTAACTGCGGATGCGCAGGTTTCAGACATACGGACCCCTTCTCACTTCACCTTATTTCGGTGATTTTGCCGCCAAGAAACGCTGAGTGTACTTTTATTAACCTTGATAGTCTTTACTCCTGACGCTAGAAATGATCAGTATAAATTTCGGCGGTTGAAGTAGAGTTGGAGGGAGTCGTTCTAGTTGCTCTGCCGCCGCTTAGCGTAAAGAAGATGAGGTCGGATATTAGCGGTAAAAATATTAGAACCTGACATACGCTCGTTTTAAGGAACTATTGATAAGAACGGTGGACATCACTGACATCCATTTTTCAGCATATTTCAGCGGTCTACCCACTGTGGAGCTCCTCCCCACCCTACCTACGCTATCTTTGATCCTAGGGCAAAAATACCGAACTTTGGCTGAGAAGGCTTCTCCGAGCTTACAAGCTGATTCAGTTGGTCCTTATTAGAAAGTTCCTTCGAATGCAAGTGTTATCAAAGTTCCTTTTCTTAGTGTGATCGACGCCTTTTTGTGATTCTTCCTATACACCCCCAGAAGAAAGGAGTGGCCCTTATGACTCGATTTTCATCAACAACTGTGGCGGATGCCGATTTCATTTATACAACCTCCTGTCAGTTCACCTACAATAAGCGATGGGCGGCTAGAAACGGTCCGCCTATATCACTCCTGGATAGTTATTTCGACGTTCACAGAAAGTATTATTAATGCAAAGATCAGTGGAATGTGCCTTTGTAATGCAGGATTTCAATGCAAACTCTACATATCTGCTGGTCGACTGCGTTAGATTTGTCATACATTCTGAGGCCCTAACGGCACGCAAAAGACAAAACCCCAGAGGAGTGGTTAACTACAACGTAAAATACGAATAGAAGACCTTTGCATACTCGAGCACGAACATTTCTTTCGCTGGATTGAGCGGTTAACTGGTTGTAGGAAGATAGTCGAATTGATCTTATGATTCGCACTGACTTTCTAGGCATCTGAAAATGTATGATAAAACCACTGTCAGTTAGGATAAGTCGAACATATGCCCCGTAAACATGACTATTGTCAATTACAAGAAAAAAAGCCCCACCTCGCCACAAGATCTCCATCCATTTTGTCGTGCTCCTCGTTATTTGACACAGCCGTTTTTCCAAAAACTGCAGTACCAATCAATGTTACAACCATACAAGCCTACTTCCGCGATAACAACTCGAATATCCTGGAAAGATGACAAGATCAATGACGGAAAAGATGATTCAGTAAGAGAAGAAGAAGGCTGATATATCTCATAATTGTATGGATGATAGCCTCAACAGACCTCCTGCATGAATCATCAAGAACTTTCGTCAAATAGTGTCGAATACTTAGCAGATCAATGAATAAAAAACGGAGAAGAATCAGCTTCATCAAAAAACCAACCCCCTCTGGTCCTGCTTCCATAATTCTCGCATTTTCGTCGAAAGCGTTTGCTAGCAGATTGATGCAGTCTTCTCTATCGCTCGACATATAATCGACTAAGTGGTTCATTGTATTTGGGTGTCGGGTCTTGATCTCTCAATGTCTCATGGCCGTCTCGTGCATATTTTTCTTGAGATATCGAATAAATCAATTTCAGTAATACTACCAGAATGACGACTAAACATCACATATCTTCAGTGTCTGCGGAAGAAAGATGGTAATAAAAACTCGATAAGGAAGTACCTCACAACTCTTTCAACGTTCTGCAATCGGGCTCTCACAAACGCCGTCATAATCTCAGGGCAACATAGATTAAGTAGATGATCTTCACTGCTGCGAACATATGGAACAGAAGTGACCATACGTTGCCAAAATGTCAACAGAAAATAGGTACTGTTTGCGGAAAGATCCATCATCTGAAGTCAGCTGAGGAATTAAGAAAGATAGAAGCGAAAGAACTGGGAAGCAGACGGTGGAAGAAAACAGAAAAAAAGAATACCCGCAGGCTTTCCACAGTGAACTGTGCTAGAAGGCGCATAACAGCAGCATAATCAGGCACTTTTATTAGTTCGCACAATTGGAAATTGGTCTTCAAACGAGACACCATTCTGCAGAACTCGTGGAACGCAGGCTGAAAACTTCAATTACAAAAAAAGGCCCATAAAAAAGTTATCACGACGAGCTACAATTCCATAGCAGAAAAAGAAAAGAATCCGCAACTTTCGTAGAATTTTCTTTTTTTCTGGACAGAAAACAATCGGAGAACAATATTTTCAAAACCTTATCGAACAGCGGGTTCACTTTATTCTCAATTACTGAGAGTTTGGGAGTCACAAAGACCTACTGTTAATACAGAGCTCTCTGCATTGCAAATGGTTTGAGAGAGCGGTCTGGAAAGTTGAAAAAAGGGAAACAGTGGGCGAAACAAAACTGCTAAAAGTCAATCAGAAAAAGATAAAGCTTACGCCATGTTACTCTCAATCAAAGCATAAACCCTAAGTGTGAGACTACGACTTCATGACTTTCCGCCTATATATCAGGATCAACTGAAATATCAAACAAAATTTACATAATATCCAAAGGAATACCTGCTCAGTCAGTTTCTCAGGATTTTCTATTACTCGCTTTACTCCCGCTACAACATGCTCTAGATAAGTCTGGCGTTCACTTCCATTGAACAATGTTCGGCGAACACTGGCTAGTTGAACACCAATGTGTAAAATCTGAAGAAATCATTTACACTCATATATAACCGCACTAAATTGAATGAAACGTGCCTTATCTGAAGCAACACTAGGAAGTTTGATATAAAGCTGGAATATGAGATCAACTAATTTGCCATCGGTGAATGCTGAAATGGCACCAAGTAAGATAATATAAGGACAGAAGAATAATATACTCTTACCTGTTCGCCAGATTGTGGGTACTTGAACAGTATAATTATCTTCGCTAGTTTCGTCAGACAGGCTTCCAATGAAGTCAAAGAGCAGAGTGTTCAAGGCAGAGATCAAGAACCGCAAGAACAAACGGCATCTGAGGTACGAACGCTTAAAAATAATAGAGCGGGAAAGAATAGACTTAATTACCTGCAAAGAAGCAAGATCCTTTCGTGAAATAGCCTCCAAGAGCGACACGGAGGTTTCGAAAATCTCAAAAATATGGGAGTCACGGAATAGAGCGATGCCTTTTCGGTGTTTATTCACTGACTCCATTCCTGCTTGCTAAAACACAAAGAAGACCTCAGCACAAAACAAATAACAATTAGTAATATCGTAGTAGAAAACAAATTTAATGAAATTACAGAAAAAACAGGGACCAGGAACTGAATCAGGTAAAACTGCTAAGTTGCTTTCTGGAAGCGCTCGAAGAACAATACTGCACTTCTTTGAAGTCCGCAGTAACTATTTCGATAAATACCATTGCTCCTTTCAAGAAACGAGCGGCAGAAGATAGCAAAAGTTCTCTAGTCACGCTAAACAAAGTAATACAAATGAAAGGCTGGGCTGTATATGTTTCGAGCGAACTGAAACTATAGGAAAAAGCTTCACACCCTTGCGCCTTCAGTCGGTTTACCGCTACAAGAAGCCCGCCAAAGCCTGTTTTCGGGGTGATTGGCTACTATACCAACTGGAACCACTAAAGTTTCAAACAGGACCTCTTTCTCGGTGCTAACGTATTTGAGAGGGTTAATACGTTTCGAGAGAGCTGAAACTATAAAAACCTGTTTTCGGAGCGATTGGCTATTACACCAACTGAAATCTTAGGAGTTTAAACAGGAGACCTCTTTGCGTTAACAGTACAAGCTCAGTGCTAACGTAGTTTAGGGGGAATCGCGGCGCCGCGGCGGCTCTGTCGTATTGCCGCTTTCAAGGTCTTGGCTGCTACTGGTTCGAAATTGCCTCCGCGGCGATCGGCTAACGGGCAACTGTCAGGACTACGCTTGGGAAGCGCAGAGGAACAGGGTGCCGCGCCGTAGCGTGCCCCTAAATTAACGCTTTAACACTCAAAGCTCTTCGGGCTTAGGAGCCACAGGATAAAAATGGCGAGGTACAACTCGGGATGGAGCTCACAGTATAGCATATTATATAGCATATTAACAAAGAGACTAACCGAATTGAAATCATTTAGAAGCGTAGACAGGAGCTGCAAAGCGAGCATACTTTGACTTCCGCCATTCTGAAACAGCAAAAGGTACTTACTCGATGCTATCGCTATGTATTGAGTAGTCTCCCTAAGATGGATCGGTCTATAGTTAATTAAGAAAGTGTAATGTTTGTAGAATGCGATTCTAAACATTTTCGCTAAAAGTTCGTACGAAACACTACTAAGCGGGCAATAGAAAACAGCGTAAACTGTAAATGAAATTCTAAAACTTACGATATCTATTGTAGCAATCAAATCAGAGATTGGAGCATGGAAAATATGTTGGTCGTTGTTATCTGTGTACGTCCACTCTTGTTTTGTGATTCTTGCGAACAGCTGACATAGAGATGAAACTATGAACGGTGGAAGGGAGGCCGAGCGTGTTCCGAGCAGATCAGAATATATCTGCCTGTAAAGAAACGTTTATAAGGAGTGTAACTCAAAATGTCACTCAAAGAAGAAGATGGCATGGAATCGAAAATGTTCCACTCTCCGGTTAGTGAACAAAACAAAGCCCTCTGCTAAAAGAAGAGGGCGGCAGTGATCTGCCTATATTGTGCGTCGTAATGGCAACAAGGCCTCCATCTCTCTGGGGCGTTTAGCTTATAGTTACCGACTACTTGGTCTGAGACGACAAATACCGACTTAGCCTCCTGGTCACCGCTACGTCCTATAAGCCAAATCGCATTCAAACGCCACTATGAGTGTACAAATGGAAGCACAATGCAGGGGATACATAGGGGAAATGAAACTACTGGGCATGTGTGAAAGCAAAATGTTACTCGCACTCAAAGCTCCTTTCCATTACAAAGATTGATAGAACAGTATAAGACACAAAACTGTGCGCCAAAATGTCCTCCTCAGCAAAAGAGCCCCAAAATTACCCTAAAATTTCTTATCTTGAGTCTATTTTCTGTTCATTCACTGCTTGAACATAGGAGTGCTGTCCAAACTTCTGATGGATATAAAAAGATTGATCCTAAAAAAGGCGGAGTTTACGATGGAAAAGGCAGCCTTAGAAATCAGGGTAGAGGGTTATCTGTAATGCAGGGATGAGGGAGTCTAAGTAATACGCTCCCTCTTGCCCGCTGATTCGCTCGTTAGGAGGGTCTCATGGGTAGTGACTCATCAACGCTAACGCTCTTTTGCTACTCGGCTAGAGCCAACGGTGGGGTTGGGCGAGTAGCGACGATAGCGGCGCGGGGACGGCCATTCTTGATCGCACGAGCACATCCTTCGCCGCGAATCATCCATAGGGGATCGGCATGTCTTTCGACTAAGTAGGCTTCCTCTTGGTTCGACCTTGGCTTTATCGTGGCATCCTCCTTTGAGGTCTAACTTTCGTGAAAGTCCATTTGGAGCTCACTCACTAGGTATCCAGGAGTCAAACGCTGGATATTGAGGCATAAACAGACATTCAAAGCCTCTCAATCACGCTACACTCCTTCCCGTGAATGCTATTCCCAAGCGGTACTGCCTTCCTTAAGCACTCTGAGGAAATTTCACTCAAAGTGTGACTTGCATCCTGAACACAGTAATTATGACATAACCTAACTGTTGTCTTCGAAATCACCATTTGCCAGCAAGCACATACCCTTCGCCGAGTAGTGTTAAGAGCACAATGACAGCTCCTCGCCCAATGGCCTAGTCCCGTTCTAACCAAAAAGTAACATGTTTTACGCGATTAGGAATGGCTTTGCTCGTCCTCGTTGCGACAACGCAACCTGCTTTGCCGCCTACTGCCTGAGCTGGATTCGCTCTGATGATGCCACATGGTAAGCAGCGCACTAGTCACCACATAAGTTCCGCCCTAAAGGCAGTCCTGAAATTTTATCAACTGAAAAACTCACTCAATTCGAGCTTCTGTTCGACGAGAATACCAGTTTTCGAGTTCAGCAGCTTCATGAGAGTGTTGCTGGCGACCACTGGGCCGTATGGCAACTAAACTATGTTGGGTATAACAAGGAAATGTTAGGGTGTCCCCAAAAAGTGCCACTTCCTAACATTTTTTGGGTAAACTTATAAAATGTAATATCCTATCAGTTATCAGTGAATTGTTGCTAAACGATTCACCGATGAGTCCATGCCGTACTCCCAAAATATAGGGTTTCAAACCAGTAAAGGCAGAGAGGTCAACCAAAACTCTTTTTTGAATCATACTTCCACAAAATTATTTTAGCAGAAGAACGGACGGACTTTGGAAGGGGCTAATCCCCGTTGCAATGTGGTCTGGTAGGATATCTCATCTAGGCTTCCGAGATCCAGAGTCGCGTCATTTTCGAAACATGTGTTCTCGGTTGTCGTGAAGAGAACGTACTTTGTTGAGTTTTTGGGTTTTTTTTCAGTTTGAGCTTCCCCACCGATCTTAATGCTTGATTACCAGGAGACTCCATCCTTTAGCTAAGGCTAAGTTCCTAGTGGCTGATTCGCGAACAGCTTACCATACGTGTACGAAAACCTTTTGCTGAATTTGATTTTCAACCGCTTCCGACCAATACAGCCACTGATGTCTGCAAGTGATTTGCATAGAACCACCACTCCTCAACAGTAGTAGCGGCGTTTTTCAGCCAGGATGGAACAGGATAGAAGATATAGACTGAACTCCTGTTGCATTTTTGATAACTAATTAACTAACTTTGTGAGAATTCCTTTGTCCAAGCCTTGAACTTTGCAAAAGAGGGCAGACCTCTACAACTGTGCATCGAAAGCGCTTGAGTGTGGTAATCACACAGAGTTAACTCATACGGGTTGGCTTCGATAGGAGAGCGTAGCAGCTCCAAGTTGGACACTGGTGGCCTCACTCGACTATATTTTCTTCTAGGGAATAGTCTGTGGAGCGTAGGACATCTACCCGCTCTGATACTGCATAGTGGACGATGTAAGGAGATGCACTGCAAAGCAAATGGTACTCATGGCTTCGACCGGTTTTTGGGTCAGTGGAAGTTCATAAATCAGGGGGTAAAGGTAGTGCTTCTCTCCTATTCTCATTTTGAGCTGGAAGACAGCAAGTAGGGCTGGATTACTTCACGTAGTTCACTCTTTATAGCCTACTTGAACAGGGTGTGCTTCACCAAGACAGAAAGCGACTTTTTCGCGTTTCGCAACGCGAGACATTTTCGGCTGCGGGAACCTCGAGTCCACTGATTTCGCTGCAGGAACCTCGGTCCACTGCGCAAAATGTTTCCTAGGGGGTATGATCCCGACTCTGTCTCCTCTGATGGACAAAGAAGGGTTGGTCATAGGGGGACTAGTACCTCTGTGTTTCTACCTGCCAGACAGTTAGAGCAGCGCTACTACCCTCCACTGATGAAGCACTCTTTCCCCTGAGGGGTCGCGCTGCTCTAACTGTCTGGCAGGTAGAAACACAGAGGTATGCGAGGTCCTGTGACGCAACCCTTTTTTTGTCTCAGAGGATGAAGTCAGGGAGTTAAGGGGATAGTATCACTGGGGGGTGGGAGGATTGAGACCGGCCAGGGGTGCGACCTGGAGAGTTCCGCGCATGCGACAAGTCCCGCAGCGAAAAATGTTTTGTGCTGCGAAACGCGGAACATTCGCTTTCTGTCCTGGTGACCGCACCCACTTGAATATATTTAGAACTCAGTAAAACAATTTTGGCGCGAGGTCCAAGAAAGTGGCACGAACTTCTGGGACACCCTAACAATTATGCAAGCCGCTTGGACTTACGGTCAAGCCGTTCACATACATCGCCACGTTCCAGCAGAAGCATACATCGGCGAAGACATTGCGGTGAATCGACGAGTTCGGCGAGATTTTGCTCGGCTCGTGCCCTGGTCGCCGGATCCATGCTCTCACCGAGCTCTTTGCAGAGCCGGTTCAAAACCTGTAAATCGGAAGGGAACAAATGACTAGATTTGCAGAGCAATAAAAGAATACTTTAAAGTACATAACTATAGATAGTGTCAAGTATCTACCTCAAGCTCTTCCATCGTCCAAGCAAAAGCTCCTCGTTACCAAATTTCTGCGATAGCTGGAATATGCTGAATAAAAAAGATGGTGGAAACACTAACAAAACTTTCACAGATAGACTTTCACGAAATAGTATTCGTTAACCGTTTTTTCAGAATGGTAATTGAAGAAATTCAAGTACTGACGGCTTCTACGACACCAGTATCTACAGAAGTACGGATCGAGACCGTCAGGAACTGTTCCCGAACTTATTGGAAGGAGAAAGTTTTAGAAAAAACAGCGAAAAGACCCAACGAGTTGGCCGGTCCTCCCCGACGTCTTTGTGTGCCTCGGTGCGAGTGCGCAGACATCGGAGCACATGGCTAGAGACGCAGAGCGGTCATCGCCGTCCTGTACCGAATCGGGTTGCGCCACGTACCTGCCATCTATTGATAATAGTGGCAACATTTGAGTGCGTACTGAAACAATGCAAATACTTTTCATGGACGGACGGGTGCTAGCGTAGTTGAGGGGGGGGGGCACGCGGCGGCGCGGCGTCTGTTCGTCTGTGCTCTCCAAGGCTTAGTCCTGAGGGGCCGTTTCCATCGCCGCCGCGACGCAGTTTCGAAATACAGTGGCCCTCAGGACTAATTAAGAAAGAAAAACCATTATAAACAAAATAATTAGATACGGTTCGTTTCGCTCCTTCCTCAGACGAACCTTATTATTTCGCCAATCCCCGGAGCTCATCAGTGA